GGATGATGAAATTCCCAACAGAGGAAGGGGTGAAAATAGTCTACGGAGAGCAGCATGCTGCAAAAGAAATGTTTGCAATCGAGGAAGTGGTACCGATACCAGAGCCCTTGACCTCGGAGAAATCGAGCACCAAAGGTAAGTAGGCTGCTAAATAGCAATCGCAGCCCCCAGCCTCGATGGAGTCGGAACAACTGGTAATCAAAGATGAAGAAGAGGATCTCCTTACTCCTCGAACCTTCGTCATCCCCGAAGAGTCCGATGAAACCAAGTCAACTGTCGAGGAACTGGAGCAGGTCATACTTATCGAATACTTGCCCGAGAGAAAGGTATACCTGGGAACGAGATTGACTCCCGAACTCAGGAAAAAACTCATTCAATTTCTTATTGATAATATGGATTGCTTTGCTTGGTCCCATTTAGATATGACAGGGATTCCACCAAAAATCACCACACATCGGCTGAACACCGATCCCAGGTTTAAACCGGTGAAGCAAAAAAGGAGGCCTCAGTCCGAGGTAAAACATGCTTTTATAAAAGACGAGTTAACCAAACTTCTTAAAATAGGGTCCATTCGGGAGGTAAAATACCCCGAGTGGTTAGCCAACGTAGTTGTAGTTCCTAAAAAAGGAAACAAACTTAGAATGTGTGTAGACTATAAGGACTTGAATAAGGCATGTCCTAAAGATTCTTTTCCATTTCAAAACATCGACCGTATGATCAATCCTAACTTTTCTCGACGCCTACTCCGGGTACAATCAAATTCAAACGAAACCGGAGGACCAGGAAAAGACTTCATTTATTACTAAATTTAGAACTTATTGTTACAACGTAATGCCCTTTGGGCTTAAAAATGCAGGAGCTACATACCAACGCCTAGTTAATAAAATGTTTGAAGAATAAATAGGTAAAACAATGGAAGTCTATATTGATGATTTGTTGGTTAAGTCCCTGCGTGCAGAGGACCATTTAGTTCATTTGCAGGAAACATTTGCAATTTTGAGGAAACATAACATGAAGCTTAACCCGGAGAAATGTGCCTTCGGAGTTGGCTCGGGTAAGTTCCTCGGCTTCATGGTGTTCAATCGGAGTATCGAAATCAACCCCGATAAGATCAAGGCTATCGAGGATATCACGATCGTGGATAGTGTGAAGGCCGTGCAAAGGCTAACAGGGCGAATAGCTACTATGGGTCGATTCATTTCAAGGTCGTCAGACCAAAGTCACCATTTCTTTTCCTTTCTCAAAAAGAAAAAGGACTTTGCATGGACCCCGGAATGCTAACGAGCCCTGGAGGAACTAAAGTGATACTTGTCGAGCCCGCCTTTGCTTCGTACCCCGAAGGTAGACGAAAAGCTTTACCTATATTTGGCAGGTCAGAGATAGCGGTAAGTGGGGTACTAATTCGAGAAGAGCAAGGTACGCAATTTCCTGTTTATTACGTAAGACGAACTCTAGGAGATGCCGAAACGAGGTACCCTCACTTAGAAAAGTAAGCACTTGCATTAATAAGCGCATCTCGAAAGCTAAAACCATACTTTCAATGTCATCCTATATGTGTATTAACCACTTACCCTCTTTGAAATATCTTGCATAAGCCCGAGCTATTGGGCCGATCGACTAAATGGTCCGTCGAACTTAGCAGGTACGATACCGAGTATCAACCCCGAACGACCATCAAGTCTCATATCTTAGCTGACTTCGTGGCCGATTTCACACTGGCCCTCGTACCCGAAGTGGAGAAAGAACTCCTGCTAAGTTCGGATACATCATCGGGGGTATGGACCCTTTTCACAAACAGTGCCTCGAATGTGAAGGGGTCCGGGCTTGGCACTGCCTTGAAGCCACCCACGGGTGATACCATTAGATAATCTATTAAAACTTCTAGATTGACTAACAATGAGGTTGAGTATGAGGCCTTGATTGCAGGTCTCGAGCTAGCTAATAGATTGGGGGTAGAGGTCATCGAGGCCAAGTGCAATTCTCTATTGGTGGTAAACCAAGTAAATAAAAATTTTGAGGTTCGAGAGGATAGAATGCAACGGTACTTGGATAAGCTACAGGTAACTTTGCACCACTTCAAGGAGTGGACTCTGGATCATGTGCCTCGATAACAAAATAGTAAGGCCAATGCACTTGCTAATCTGGGATCCTCGGTCGAAGAAGATGACATCGTCCCGGGGACTGTCGTCCAATTATCAAGGTCTATGGTTGAAGAAGGTCATGCCGAGATAAATTCAACAAGTTTAACGTGGGACTGGACGAATAAGTATATCGACTATCTGAAGAATGGAAAACTCCCATCGGACCATAAAGAATCGAGGGCCCTACGAACCAAAGCTGCTAGGTTTGCATTATATAAAGATGGAACATTATACAGAAGAACGTTCGATGGACCATTGGTGGTATGTTTGGGGCCGGGGGACACCGATTATGTTCTTCGAGATATCCACGAAGGCACTTGTGGGAATCACTCCGGCGCCGAGTCTTTGGTTCACAAAATCATCAGAGCAGGTTACTACTGGGATAGCATGGAAAAAGATTCCAAAGAATTTGTCAAAAAATGTGATAAGTGTCAACGATTTGCACCAATGATCCATTAGCCCGGAGAACAACTCCATTCGGTCTTGTCCCCATGGCCTTTCATGAGATGGGGAATGGATATAGTCGGCCCTCTACCAACGGCCCCAGGTAAAGCTAAGTTTATTTTATTTATGACTGATTATTTTTCTAAGTGGGTGGAAGCACAGGCCTTCGAAAAGGTCCAAGAAAAAGAAGTTATTAACTTTATATGGGAACACATCATATGTCGATTCGGGATACCTGCCGAGATTGTATGTGACAATGGGCAGCAAGGTGACGAAGTTCCTCGAGACCCAAAAAAAGAGAATTTTATCAACACCATACCATCCAACTTGAAATGGACAGGCCGAGTCCACGAACAAAACCATAATTCAAAACCTAAAGAAAAGGTTGGACGATGCGAAGGGAAAATGGAGAGAAGTTCTACCTGAGGTCCTACGGGCATATCGAACAACATCAAAGTCTAGCACGGGGGCTACTCCGTTCTCTTTAGTTTATGGCCCCGAGGCCCTCATCCCTGTCAAAGTCGGAGAACCCAGCGCCAGGTTTCGATACACATCGTAGGAGTCAAATCATGAGTCCATGAACACTAGCCTCGAGCTGCTAGATGAAAAGCGAGAAGCAGCCCTTGTTTGGATGGCCGCACAAAAGCAAAGGATCGAAAGGTACTACAATAGAAGGACCAATCTCCGACACTTCGGAATCGGTGACCTAGTTCTACGGAAAGTTACCCTCAATACTCGAGATCTAAACGAAGGGAAACTAGGTCCGAATTGGGAAGGACTGTACCGAGTCCTCGGGGTTGTCGGCAAAGGATCCTACAAACTTGGAACGATGGAAGGTGAACAACTGCCAAACAATTGGAATGTATCATTACTTAAATGGTACTACTGCTAAGGTATGGCTTTATCCTTTTGTCTATTCGAGTTTAAAATTGCAGATTTTCGATCGAAGCTATCGAGACACCCCTTTTACACGAAGGCCTTAGGTTTTAAAGCATACGTTGCACTCTTTTTCCCTTAGATTGAAAATTGTCCCAAATGGGTTTTACCGGTAAAGTTTTTAACGAAGCAACAACCATATGCTACCTTAAGAGAACTCAACAGTATCCAAGGCTTCTTTTCAATCAACCTCGAATATTGGGGGGCATCACCCTCGGAGGTCATATTTTTGTGGAAAATACTTCACACCTAAGGGGGGGCCTCGATGGGAAAATTTTGTAATGGGCCAAACGGTCAAATGAACCGTGTCCATATAGAATAGCCGAGCCCCGACGGCGAAAACATGTACGCATGTATCAATTATTTGAAAAAGCTTCCTATTTATATCAAAAACAATTTGTGTCTCAAAGAAGTCTACTATTATACAAGCTCTACACTTACTATCCTACGGGAAACGGCCGAAGGGCCAAAGCACAAATGTAACCCCAAGATACTCGGGGACCGTCATCGACAGCCAACTCGCCCGAGCCATCGAAAACTCGGACTCATAAGACCTCAAAGAGGCATCTGCCTGAAACAAAGGCCAAGGCCAATATACTCGGGGACTACACTTTTCGAACAAGTTTGAAAAGTTATCGGGGAACAAGTCCAAGAGACACACCCGAAGGCTACGGCCAAATTGAAGGCTACGACTATATTAAAGACTACGGTAATATAAAAGGCTACGGACGAAAGAATGCGGCTCGGAGATGTTCGACTTCCGCCATAAATTAAAGGCCTTCAATTACTTTGAAAAAATCGGTTAAATCAGGCTACCTCGGCAAAAGCAAAAGGGCTTCGATAAATTCAGCCCCCGAATAAATAAAGGCTTCGATAACATCAGCCTTCGTAATAACCTCAAGAGGTATTCGATTATGTCTACACAAATAAACTATTAATAAGGTTCTGATCCATCAAACCTTCGAAAAATCCAATGGGTACAAAAAACAAATGCTAAGGCATAATGAAATTTTCACTTAAGTCTTTTGGCCAAAAAGAGGGAAAAATTATATAGCCACTCTAGAGGCCGAATCGGCCCAACTTAAAGAGCCTAAGGGCCAACTTAAAGAGCCTAAGGACCGATATATATAAGAGCCTAAGGGCCAACTTCGAAAGGCTTAAAGGCCAAAACATATAGTTCGAGACCCTGCTCTCACTCAACTCGGACTCAAGAGTCCCGATATCCCAAGCTCGCATCGAATCAATTTAAACTTAGCTCGAGGATTACTACATTTATCAATAAAAACCCAAGGGTTTATTATGTTCCGAATCCAAACCAATACTCGGACCAATCATTCGAGTTATACAATCAAACAAAAGGAAATTCAACACAAGTTGAGGATAGAGAAAACAGATTCTTTATATTCACAATGGATGTTTTACAAAGGTATATTTACAACGCCCACGAGGGGTCTTTACACAAAAAAAAGAGTACCTAATCTATTTTGGGGTTACGTCCCCGGAAGCAGCTTCCTCGGGAACCGCACCCTCGGAGGCCCTATTTTCGAGAGCCTCCTCCTCCTCGGTAACACCTTCCTCACCTTCCCCGCACTCAGAGCCACTCACAACATCTATGTCATCTGAAGAGACGAGAAACCTGGCATCGGTTTCCTGCACCTTTGCTTCGGCTATCTCCTCAGTGAGGTCAAACCCTTGGGCGTGGATTTCTTCAAGAGTCTCCCTCCGGGCTTGCCACTTGGCCAAATCATTGCTCCGTCTTTCCCGATCAGAGGCCTCCCTCAGCTCCGCTTCAATAGCTGCGACATCTCTTAAGTACACGGCAATGGCCTTATCAGCCGTGGCCCTCGTCTTCTCAACTTCAGCCTTAGCTCTCGCAGCTTCAGCCTGTGCTCCAGCAAGCTCCGCCTCTAACTCCTCGATTTTCCTGGCTTGGGCCAAACCTTTCGCTTTAATACCTCAGAGTTGAGTTTCGGCTGAGGTCAGTTGGACTGTAACAGCTTCCTTATCGGCAGCGTGCTGATCCATGTTCTTTTTCCACCTATGGCAATCAGCCTTAACTTGATCAACTTCGCCCCGGAGCTGCCCAATCATCTCCAACTTTTGCTGCAACTAAGATAGAGAAGTGTTAGCCTCCGGAGTAGGGCCAGGAAGACCATACCCTGTTAATATCACAGTTACCTGCTCATCTAACTCGGCCTCGTTTTTCTGAGCTTTGGCCAATTCAGCCCGGAAGTCCCTAAGCTCTTCTTCCTTTTGGTTACAGAGGAGCCTCAGGGCCTCCTCTTCGCCACAAACTTTCCTAAGCTCGGCCTCACATTGGCTCAGCTCGGCACTAAATTTGACGATGGCCTACACATGAAGTGAAAATATGTCAGTCAAAGGAAAGGAAAGAAAGAAAAAATTACAGCGACGAAAGTTAACATTTACCTGAGAAAGGAGACGTTAAGCCTCTTTGAAGATGGTGGATCCATCATTAAGGTCGCTGGTATCCTCAATCCCAGCATAGCAACCATGAAAGGGATCTTCCCCGAGGACCTTGCTCGGATCGGGCATACGCAGAGCGTTAGAATCTTCGATTGCCTCCTCAGAATAAGATGGTAGAGAAAGGGAGTGACCCGTTGTCATGGCCCCGAGCTCTTCACTCGGGGCGTTCTGATTGGATTCGAGGGTTCCCTCACTCTCCCCTTCGGGTATATTTATCGAAGGCAGAGGAACGATCTCAATCTCCGGGAGCACGGGGGCCTTGCCTAAATCTTTCTTAGGGGTTCCCTCACCACGGGGTGTGATCTCTAGTTCGGAGGGTTTGGCGGCCTCGATTGGTTTCCCAGTTCGGGGTACAATCGTTGATTCTCCACCGTCGTTCTCTTCAACCTCCGGGTATTGGATGGCCGAATCCGGGTCCACACGAGTGAGTTTTTTCCTCGATTTCCGAGCAGGCGCCACCTCGTCTTGGGATTCTTCGGGCTTCGAAGCCCTCTTTCTTTTATTGTCCTTCCCTGATTTTGAAATCGAGGGCGCACTCATTTCCTCGGGCGGAGCCGGCCTCATTTCGGACACATCTCCGATACCTGCACAAGTAAACGTGAATAAGTTGATGCCACCAGCTAATGAAAAATATCTGAAACTTTGGAGGAGAATTTACCATGATGTTTGGCCTCCCACTTTCCCCTCGATAATTCACGCCATTTACGCTCATCGTAGGAGGAGATGGCAGCTAATTTTCGGACCCAATCCTCGAGGTCGGGGACCGCATGAGGTGCCCAGGCAGTGGCTACAAATAGGGTAAAGGCATTGTGAGACATGAAAGTTGGATATGAATAATACTGGCTAGAAGAGCTCCACTTACGATTAAAGTTCCATCACTCCGGGAACGGCATTTTATCCTTGCGGATGACGTCCGAAGTCCTTACTCTGATGAACCGGCTCATCCAGCCTCGATCTTTGGTTTCGTCATTGCTGGAAAAGAAGGCTTTCGTTTTTCGATGTTGCAGCTTGATAAGCCCTCGAAATAGTTGGGGCCGATACAATCGAATCAGGTGGTTGAGGGTGAATTCCAACCCCTCGGCCTTCTCGAAAAAGTAGCGCAGCATGATCACGATGCGCCAAGAGGAGGGGTGAATCTGGCCGAGGTGACTTCGTATGTTTTGCAGAAGTCGATCACCACCAGATCTAGGGGACCCAGTATGAAGGGGTAAGTGTAAATACTTATAAAACCCTCCACGTGGGTAGTAATGCTTTCCTCGGGGCTCGGGATCTGAACCAAGACCTCGTCTCCCCAGCCGCAGTCTCTCTTCATGGGCTTCGAGGTTCTTCTCCGATATCAGACTAATATATCTAGATGCATGCTCGCATCGGCCCGGGACGTCGGGGGATTTTCAATACCAAAGTCTTTTTTAATTACGCAAGGGCCGGGGGTGATCTCTTCAAGAGTCGGCGGTACCACCGGTTTAGCCGGCTGAGAGGTAGATGATGTCGACGCTTTATTTTTTTTGGGGACCGTTTTGGAAGTTTTAGCCATGATTTCAAGCTAAAGGATACAGACTGTGTCGGAATGTAGTGTTTTTTACAAGAACCTGGCGTTTTACGGCACTTAAAGAGGCGGTGGAAACAGACGATTAGAGAAAGAGATGAAGAAGGAAAAGATGTAATGAAAGAGTAAAGTTCTTTACTCAAAGGAATAGCCTCATATTTATAGAAGGACAACGACGGTTCGGCGATGCTAGTGGCCGACCAGTACTGGCGTGCATTCAATGTTTTGGGGAAGTGGACTGACGGAACGTTTCAGTCATTTTGAGCGCCTACGTCACGGAAATGATGTCATCATTAAAGACTCCGAGAAAGCGAGGATCATATCATTTCTTATCATCTTACTCTAAGTAACGTGGGGAGTATCTGTATACGGTTGAGATCGTACGCCTTCGATCTATATGCTCGAGGACTCATCCAAAGTCCGAGCTCAAGCAAGATCGAGTTCGAGCTCGATGGACCAGATCCGAGTTCGAAGACAGAGCACAACATCTACCGGGGTCGAGTATGCTCGACTCCGGAATAGTACCGTTATGGACTTGTAACAGAATGGGCTAGATTCCTGCCACGTCCCCAAGATCGTGGCGCAAATCCCGGAATATGATTGTACTATTCCGTACTAGGCGGTTAGACAGCTGTATCAAGAATATTCCCTAGTATAAATATAAATATTCCATATTTAGGGTTCCCCTATTATATAAAGGGGACCCCTAATCATTTGTAACATCATCCAATCATTGAGAAAAGAATATACTCTCTGCTTTTACCTACTGTACATCAGAATTGTCTTTTAGCTCTACTGCTCTTACTTTACTTTTCTTGTCTCATTATTCTTACTGTTCTTACCACCTCGAGGTCACTAAGCTCGAGGTCACTGCTGCTGAGTTACATTGGTTTGGTTCACTTATTTCTTTCATTTCTACTTCATATTTCTTGATCATTAATTGTATTGAATTTAATCACGTATCTTTAAAACCGCAAATCAAATTTAATTGTTACTCGTATTTTCGAGGTAAACAAATTTCTTTTAATCGCAACTCTAGTTCGTAGAATTAATTAAACAAAAATCACTTTGAACTTGTTCTTGACTTGATAAAGTAGAAATTGTTTGATTTAGTTGATAGTAATTGATTACAAGTCCTCGTGGGAACAATGCTCTATTTACTCTTTATTACTTGATTGACCGCGTATACTTGCGTGTGCGATTTAGGGCAACATAATACAAAAGAGAATTAATGTTAATACTGTAGCATCTTTCCCTCTTTGGAATGTACAATGTAGGTGGACTCTTTCATTAGCATAAAAGAACTATAAAGAAAACTGTCTCAAACTAGGGACGGCATGCCAAACTGTCCTGTCAAAAAGGAAAATAGAAAATAGAAAATAGAAAATAATAAAAGTACGTAGATGAGATAGTGTTAGACGAATCTCTCAATGACAGCCTCATTTGTTCCGAGTTATTTTGGTTGTTATAATGAAGTGTTATTATAGAGAATATATATTATAACATAGCATAAAAATTAATTCCATAAAAAACTAGATTTATAGTGAATGATTGTTATATATCGATACTATAATAGAGATGTCTGGCTGCATATAGCTTCAGTTTTGCCATATATTTTGGCTATTTTTAAAAAAAAAAAAAACATAATTTGTTCGTGGAATTTGATCAGTTTCTGGAAAAAGAAAATTAAAAATTGTTTTTCAAGTTCCCAAAAATTAATTTATGCAAGTTTTTGGGTGAAAATTATTTTTCCACTCATAAAACTGTAAAAACTCTTTTTTCAAGTCCCGACCCAAACTATGTTCAAACACTAGCATAGTTTCTGGTTCAGAAAACTGTAATCTTGATCAAATGTTCCTACACGAGAAGACAAAAGAAAGCCGATAGATGTTTTGGAAGAATAAGCTAGAATTCATCTTAATTATTATGTGCTTAATTTAATTTATTTCAAGTATGCATTAAATGAATTTCTCGAGAATAATTATGAAAAAGTCACGCAGGCACATATAATTAACCTTATTGAAACAAATTAAAGCTAATGATAGCTAGAACAAATGTCACTTCATAAAAATTAGATAAACTTACAAAGATTGATGCACATACACACAAACTTACTAGATGACAAAACACGAAGAAGGGTATAATAAGATCGGAAATTAACCAAAAATCCTATTGAGTTTTGTCCAACTAAAACTTGTATCAATCAAAGACGGGATCTTGAAAATGATGGATTAATCTGAACCTGGAATCCCACTGGTGCAGATAGTAACAGCAAGTGATGATTTTTCATGTTGAATCGAATTTACGAGAAGTGTCAGGATGATTTGCTTATTGTTGGATGTCATAATCTATAATAGGATATGGCCAACAACCAATGAAATGAGTGAAAAGTGCAGTAACAGATCAACGTTCAAGACTAACAAAGACAAAACTAAGATGATTTTTAAAAAAAAAATATTTAAGCCTTGATCGATAGAATTATCTGATATTTTTATACTAGTCGAAGGCAGTAGATATCTGATAGAATATACAAATTGATTTGAATACTACCGTTATTAGAAAAAAGAAGAAGATAATCCACAATTTGATTTCTGTTGGTGCATGCTTAAAAAGAGAGAAGAGCTCCACCACTATTTTTAGCTAAAAAGCAAAAAACTAGAGATGTCTGCATCAACCACCACTTCTTGTTGAGATAAAACCTTGTTTCTTTTCCTTTTGGCATCGACAAGTTTAGTCAAATATAACTGCTTAAAAAGAAAATCAGCAAATCTTCATGATCTCAGCTTTAGACTTGAATTGATTGGTGTCTTCTTAGATCATTAATTATGGAAGGCACTGAGACATGTCTCAGTTACTAAACCATCAATTCTTGAAGTGAAAAACTAGCTAGAAAATCAATTCAATCTTCTGGAAAAAGAAAACAGCAGAAACATTGGAATTCCATTTAAACTTGAAAAACAGAATTTTCCTAGTGTATACGGGTGAAACCGAGTCTAACACACATTCCGATTTCTCGGTGGGTTAAACGAAGCAAGGGTATGAATACATAGGATCGAAATCGAAGCGACGAGCTCCAAGACCTCGAAAAACATGGCAAACGGTTGGACACAACTAACAAATGGCCGTGATATCCGCACCCAACTGGATATCACAGCGCAGATCTCGCCCTATATTGGTAACAATATCATTAAGTAACGAGAAAGGAGGATTTTCACCTTTTTTAGAAATGGAGATGAAACTCTCTTACTAAATAAACGGGAAGCCTTTATTTCAATTTAAAAAAAAACACTGTAACACGCATATCAAGACAACACAAACTCATTTCTCTTCTTTCCAGCTATTGCGGAAAGCAATTGCAAAGTCTTTATTTTACTTTTGTTTGTTGTTCTTGACTGGCTCCGAATCAAGGATCCAACCGAGGGCAGAAACTATTGCCCAATTCAAGTTCAAGCTAGGCCATAACGCTACGACTAGTTTGATTATTCATTGCGTCTTTAACTCATTTATCTAACTTTCTTGATTATTTGTGTTAAATCAGTCCATATATCCTTAAAACCGCGTATAAATTCAATTGTTATCCGTTTTAAGGGTAAACACCTAGGTTTTCCCTATCACCAAAAGAATATTCACTAACAAACCCCAGCTGCCACCAAAAACTCCTAAAAACCAGGTGTATAAGGAAAAGCAGAGAGATTTGAGATGAATCAATGAAAAGAAAAAAAACATAGAAAAGCTGCACAAATTTGCAAAGCATTTCACTATCCAACAGCCCAAGGTACACAAATACGCAAATAATAAAACAAGGAATCTTTGTAAATTATCAATCCATTATCAATTGATCCAATTAATATGAATCACCATCATGAAAGGAAAAAACAATTACCTCAATAGATACCCATGTATGATTAGCTCCATACATAGAATACACCAATAAAAAAATCTAGAGAGAGATAGAGGGAGTGGTAGGGGTGACAGATAGAGCAGTGAGCACACATAGCTTCAAGCATATATATATCATATGCAAGAAAACACCATGTGTGCTCACTCTCTTCTGTCACCTCCTTTGGCGAGCCCTAGGTTCGCTCCTGAGTACTAATAAAACCATATGTTCATAAACACAGATGCGCATATACATAAAACAGAAAAAAATGTACAGAAAGAGAGTGGGGTGGTGGGTGACAGATAGAGCAGTGAGCACACATAGCTTCAAGCATATCATATGCAAGAAAATATCATGTGTGCTCACTCTCTTCTGTCACCTCCCTTGGCGAC